TCAGGTCATGATCCCAGGGTCCTGGGATCGAGTCCTGCATTGGGCTCCCCTCTCAGCGGGGAGTCTGCTTCTCCTTCTCCCTCTGCCTCTTCCCCTGGCTTATGCTCTCACTCTGTCTCTCTCTCTCTCCCAAATAAGTAAATGAAATCTTAAAAAACAAAAAAAAAGGAATGAGTTCACTGATCCTCAGGTTACATACTTCATTCCAGGTTATACATATTGGCAGAGCTGGTATGCAATCCCGGGTTTGTCTAACTTCAAAGCTGATGTTTTTTGTTTTTTGTTTTTTTAAGATTTTATTTATTTATTTGACAGAGAGACATCGAGAGAGGGAACACAAGCAGGGGGAGTGGGAGAAGGAGAAGCAGGCTTCCCACTGAGCAGGGAGTCCGATGCGGGGCTCGATCCCAGGACCCTGGGATCATGATCTGAGCGGAAGGCAGACGCTTAACGACTGAGCCACCCAGGTGCCCCCAAAGCTGATGTTTTTAACAATATAGTGTCCTTCACTTTGTGGACGGTATGGGGAATAATTTAACTGTTGACCTACTTTATTTTCTTTGAGATGATTCTTTGGAGACTGATGATCTGCCAAAGTACATTGCAGATTAGGCTAGATTTTTGTTCTCAAATATCCTCACAATGTCTAAAAATACTGAAAATACTGTATCAAGAATTTGAGATTCATAGACAAAAATATAAAACTGAAAAGGGAAAGAACTGAAGTGGTGATAGGGTGAAGGAGATTAAGAAAAGGAAGGGAGAGAAGTAAGAGGGATGGAAAGAGTTTTCTCCTGTTTGATAGCTGGACTCACTGGGCTTATTTTAGGCTCTCTGGGATTTGGCTGCTCTCATCTTCAAAGGACAAAGAATGATCTTGAAAACCTTGGCTTCCAAAAGTCTGGTGGTGGCGTGGCCATTGGAGCTAAAGGTTTTAGACTGTTGAGCCAAAGAAATTTTGTAACTGAGCAGGAAGCAGTTGACCCAGCTGCTTAACGCAGGTTAAGATAGCACATTTCATCTTCATGATACAGAAGTTTATTATTACATGGGCAAAGCACTTTCTTCTCCTTAGACTTTAGTACCTTCTTAAAAAGTATTCCCTTCCATCCTTTCACTAAAAGGTCTTTATTAACAGTTTTTAGCAAGGTACTCTGCAATGAGTTGGCCCAATCTTACTTATGGGGATTGCACGCTGGCAGACATGCAATATATCTGAAATTTAGTGATAATAATAGTTATGAAATATTTTACATGGTAAAGAAATAAAGAGTAAATGAGGAATGCTTATAGAAATTGGTAAACCTAAGAGAACATCGTAGTAGAAGAAATGTAATTTTTTGAGCTGCTTGTTGAAAAAGAGACCATTATGAATTTTGGCTATAAGAATCATCTGGCTTCCAAAGGTCAAGTTAGAGGAATATATTATATTGCATCAAATCAAATCTAGGCTGATATGTTAGCTAATCTCAGTAATTGTAAAAAGAGTTTCAAATGGTTTGAGAAAAATGAACAAAGATGCTTTTTGTAACCAGAGTTACCTAATTAAATTTTCATCCAAATTGAATTAGTCTTTGTTCATGCATGCCCTTGCTTCTAGGCAGAATTGACGTGAGGTTTATCTCTGGAGGAAGTTCCTCTAAGTTCTCTGAGTAATAGATGTACTCCTTAAGCCATTTATATATATATATATATATATATAAATTTGGAAAAGGGAAGAATATTTTAATAGCCTATACAGACAATTGTGGATACTCTTCTTGAATATTATACTAAAAGTCCAACAAGTAAGAGTTTCTTAAATATTAGTTGCAGTGCAGAATCTGAAACACGTCAGTGGATTTTTCTTACTTTGTGACATCAAAATTGAGTGGTCTAACTTATACTTTGAATGAATCTTTTACCCATGCATGATTATCTATACCATGTATTTCATTAGTACTTGGAAAATAAGGGTTCATTGAGTTATGCAGATTTTTCTAAATGTTAATGCATTTACTTATACATTTGTGGATAGTCCCACTGATCTCATCAGAAAAGTATTAAGAAGCTGTCAAGTTCATCATAGTGGTATGTTTCCCAAAATTCCGAGTTCTTTTGGATGGTCAAATTTTGTCACTGGCAACAAATGCTAGTTATTTTCTTTGAAGTGACAGACTCACCTTGGTCATTTTCAAGTCTTTTTTTTTTTAAGATTTTATTTATTTATTTGAGAGAGAGAATGAGAGAGAGAGAGCATGAGAAGGGAGAGGGTCAGAGGGAGAAGCAGACTCCCCGCTGAGCAGGGAGCCTGATGCGGGACTCGATCCCGGGACTCCAGGATCATGATCTGAGCCGAAGGCAGTCGCTTAAGCAACTGAGCCACCCAGGCGCCCCATTTTCAAGTCTTTTTTTTTTTTAATAATTTTTTTATTGTTATGTTAACCACCATACATTACATCATTAGTTTTTGATGCAGTGTTCCATGATTCATTGTTTGTGCATAACACCCAGTGCTCCACGCAGAATGTGCCCTCTTTAATACCCATCACCAGGCTAACCCATCCCCCCACCCCCTCCCCTCTAGAACCCTCAGTTTGTTTTTCAGAGTCCATCGTCTCTAATGGTTCGTCTCCCCCTCCGACTTACTCCCCTTCATTCTTCCTCTCCTGCTATCTTCTTCTTCTTTTTTTTCTTAACATATATTGCATTATTTGTTTCAGAAGTCCCATTTTCAAGTCTTAAACGATAATTTGCGTGTCAGTTCTTTTGAGTAAAAATAGCATTCCATGAAAAAGTGGCTAGTTCATCTCACAATAGATGCACAAGTACTTTTTTCTTGGAGATAACCGTCATACTTTGGGATATAGCGGAAGTGCTTTATATATACCTCCTATGTCACACATAATATTTAAAAGACTTATAACCAAGGATTGAGATTTAGTAAAATTAATAATATTTTACTGCTTCAACAAGGTCATTTTTTTATTTTTTTAAGATTTTATGGGACACCTGGGTGTCTCAGTTGGTTAAGCTTGTGCCTTCGGCTCAGGTCATGATCCCAGGGTCCTGAGATCGAGCCCCGCATCAGACTTCTTGCTCAGCAGGGAGCCTGCTTTTCCCTCTGCCTATGCTCCCCCTGCTTGTGCTCACTCGAGCGCTCTCTGTCTCTCTCACAAAGATTTCGTTTATTTACTTGAGGGAGAGAGAGAGAAAGTGAGATAGAGAGCAAGTGAGAAAGAGAGAGAGCAGGAGCAGGGGGGAGGGGCAGAGGGAGAGGGACAAGCAGACTTCCCGCTGAGTAGGGAGCCCGATGCGGGGCTCCAACCCAGGACCCTTGAGATCATGACCTGAGCCAAAGACAGACGCTTAACTGACTGAGCCACCCAGGCACCCCCATCAAGGTCATTCTTAAATAAAACTGTTTTGTTTTGTTTTTTTTAAAGATTTTTATTTATTTGTTTATTTGACAGACAGACACAGCAAGAGAGGGAACACAAGCAGGGGGAGTGGGAGAGAGAGAAGCAGGCTTTTCTCTGAGCAGGGAGCCCAGTGCGGGGCTCAATCCCAGGACCCTGGGATTATGACCTGAGCCGAAGGCAGATGCTTAACCGACTGAGCCACCCAGGCGCCCCTGTTTTGTTTTGTTTTAAACTGTGACCACCCAGGCGCCCCTGTTTTGTTTTGTTTTAAACTGTGAGTACATGGTAGGAAAGAATACAGTGAGTACTGGTTATCCTTTGAGGCTACTGCCTTGATTCATATTGAGGCACTGGTAGTTTTATCCATAATACCTTATGTATCCTTAGTGCAAATGTCAACACAGTGAAAAGGGCAAATAATGTCTTAATATTGTTAGAGAAAATCATTTTGATCTGAAAATAGCTTCTCAGCTGAAGTTTTAACTCCCACCACACACACCCCCCAGGCCCCAAGGAAGGGATTTAAAGACAAGTTTTTTTTTTTCAAAAAGGAGTCTCATTTGTTTCTAGGTCCTGAATTATTCCAACTGCTTTAGAACAATCAAAGCCTTGATAATGATTGCCTTTATCAATGTGGGCATTTTACCTCCTTTTTATTCTATAGATAAGTTAAGACAGCCTTTTGGTCTGCAGATCTCATTGCTATTTGTTACTGTTTCTTTTAGGCTTATGGCAAGCCTAAAGTTTCTATTTAAAGAGCTCCTCTGCTTTCTCCTAATTGTTGCTGTGAGATGGGCAGTTAAGGATCCCTAATCATCCAAACTACAAACATACTTTGCCGTATTGTTTGGAGCCATTCAAAAAACACATGAAAAGAAAGTACATTTCTTCAGTTTGAAATGATCACCTCATCCTTTCTCACCAAAGCAGGGATTGTTTGACAACCCTAGAATCTTCAACTATAGCTTCCCACTGAGAAAATTGCATTTGATTCTGTGTGATTGTTTTTTTTTGAAATTCATAAGCAAATTAGTGGTTTCTAGCATGTCCTCTTTTATATTATGATGATGAAACAGCTCACCCATTTATAGTACTTTAGAAATCACTTTCACAATTAATCCTAATAGTACTATAAATAAAATTAAGTATCATTATACCTATCTCACAGCTGAGATTTGTTTTAAAAAACTTAATTATTTATTAGAGAGTGCGTGCGAGTGCGTGCATGTGCACACATGATTGAGGGGAAAGGGAGAGAGAGAATCTCCAGCAGACTCCCCACTGAGCACAGAGCCTGATGCGGGGTTCAATCCCATAAGCTCGAGACTATGACCTGAGCCAAAACCAAGAGTTGGACACTCAACCACTGAGCCACCCAGGTGCCCCCACAGCTGAGATATTGAGACATACAGACAATTCAGGGGTTTGCATAAAATCACAAAGCTTAGAAGTCATTCTCTGGACACTTTTATCAGTATGCAAGAAATAGAAATTAATGTATCATTACAACTGTTGTATTGTCAATGCCCAGAGAGTGTCTGGCATGTAGTAGAGCTCAGTAAGTACTTGTCCAGTGAATGATTGGACTTTTCTTTTCAGGCCTGTATTGATGAAAATTTGGACATGGTGAAGTTTCTGGTGGAGAACAGAGCCAATGTAAACCAGCAGGACAACGAGGGCTGGACACCCCTTCATGCAGCAGCTTCCTGTGGTTATCTCAACATAGCAGAGTGAGTCTCTGTATGGGTTTGGATTATTTGTAGGAATAGCCTTCATTTCTCTTCTGCTCTTAAAAATTTGAATTCATAAATAGTTATACTTTCTATTACAAATTATAAAAGCAGGAGTTTGAATCATTTTTAAGGAATAATTGATACTGTTTTTATATACCTGCTAAATCCACAATTTGTTTTTTTTTTTTTAAGGATTTATTTATTTATTTTAGAGAGAGAAAGAAAGACAGCACAAGTCATGGGAGGGACAGAGGAGGGAATCTTCAGGCAGACTCCCCGCTGAGCGCAGAGCCCTACATGGGGCTCCATCTCATGACCCATGAGATCATGACCAGACCTGAAACCAAGAGTCAGGTGCTTAACCAGCTGAGCCACCCAGGTGCCCCAAATCCACAGCTTTTTAGTTGAAATTTTTTGTTTGCTTCTATTCTCAGGTAATTCATATTTGTTTGGATATTTAGAGGTGGCTTCTGTTGTGCTCTCTGGGTCACTTTTTGAGCAACTCTAACAATGTGTGGGCAGGCCTAAAGATTTTTTTCTGGACTTCTTTGTAAACTTGTTTTATTGTTTAAGAAAAAAAATCAGTGCTTAGTACAAATGAAGGTGGAGAAGGCCTGGCATACTGATCACAATGCCCATATAGTTAATAGCAGAAGAATGAGCCTAAACATGGAGCAAAGGAAGGGTAGGGATTGGCATGTATTCTCCACATTAGTTGAATGGGTATGTTTAATAAGACACATAAGTAGCTCCTGACCTCCATCACAACTAGTTGCCCCTGCCTTGGGCAGAGAATCCTGGCCACATCATGTCTGGTATATAAGAGGTACTAAATAAATGTTGAATGAAGGAATGAAGGTTATTTTTATTTATTTTTTTTTAAAGATTTTTATTTATTTATTTAACAGAAATAGCACAAGTAGGCAGAGCAGCAGACAGAGGTAGAGGGAGAAGCAGGCTCTCCACCAAGCAGGGAGCCTGATGCAGGGCTCGATCCCAGGACCCTGGGATCATGACCTGAGCCAAAGGCAGCCGCTTAACCAACTGAGCCACCCAGGCGCCCCAGGTTATTTTTATTTTTATATTACTTATTTATTTATTTTAAAAATTTAATTTTTTTTTTAAGATTTCACTTATTTTGAGAGAGAGAGTGCACATGCAAGTAGGGGGAGGGGCAGAGGCAGAGGGAGAGAGAGAATCTCAAGCAGACTCCATACTGAGCATGGAGCCCGATGTGGGGCTCAGTCTCATGACACTGAGATCATGATTGATCTTGAGTTGATCTGAGCTGAAATCAAGTTCTGGCCACTTAACCAGCTGAACCATGCAGTATTTTTAAGTAATCTCTATGTCCATTGTGGGGTTTAATCTCACAACCCAGAGATCAAGAGTCACATGCTCCACCAACTGAGCTAGCTGGGCACCCTTGAAGGTTATTTATTTATTTTTTTAAGGTTTATTTATTTTTGAGAGAAAGAGAGCGCGCATGTGCATGTGAGTTGGGGGAGGGACAGAGGGAGAGAATCTCAAGCAGACTCCCTGTTGAGTTGCAGAGCCTATTGGGGCAGGGGGAGGTTTGATCTCATGAGCCTGAGATCATGACCTGAGCAGAAATCAAGAGTCAGACACTTAACCAACTGAGCCAGCCAGGCACCTCTGAAGGTTTGTTTGTTTGTTTGTTTTTTAATATTTTATTTATTTATTTAATAGAGAGAGAGAGAGACAGCGAGAGAGGGGATACAAGCAGGGGGAGTGGGAGAGGGAGAAGCAGGCTTCCCGCGGAGCAGGGAGCCCGATGTGGGGCTCGATCCCAGGATCCTGGGATCATGACCTGAGCCAAAGGCAGTCGTTTAACCAACTGAGCCACCCAGGTACCCCGGTTTGTTTGTTTGTTTGTTTGTTTTTAAATAGGAAAGAGGGCTTAGCAGTTGAAATATCTTTAAAATGAGACAATCGAGTGTATTCTAGATGAGAGTAGATTTAGGTTGATAAGGTAAATTCACTGAATCAAATCATGATATTCTGTGATCCTTTGAAAATCAGATGCTTGTTTTAAGGCCCCTTTCCATATAATTAGAGCTCTATTACATTTCTCTTATCTAGCAAGCAGCAGGGAGGATTATGTTGGCAGCTGGTGGAGGCCTGGGAATGGCTTCCTACACAATCTGATTTGCCCAGGTTTCCTGGGGGAGATGTGTCTCTGTTTTGCTTTTGAGCCAGAGATGCTCAGTGGGAGAAGTTAAACAAAGGGAGACTCCAAGCCAGAGAAGTGCTATGCAGCAGCGCTGGTGTTTGACTGGGCTGCTTGTTCTAAAAAGTGGACAACGGGATTGGCCCCAAAGCCAACAGAAACGAACAATGCAGTTTTCTTTAATCTCAGTCCTTCTCCCTGTTCTAATTTAGTAAAAATCAGTCACGTCTTCAACCCTCAGACTGCCCTCTTTTTAGAATCTCCTAGGAAAGGCTCTGATTCTCAGCCTCACCACTAATGCCAACATTCTCCGGTCTAAGACTTACGGTGGCTTCCTCATAGATTTTGATTTTTACTTTAAAAATTTATCTAAGAAACAGTTATAGAACATGTTAGCACCTCATTTTTTGTATGTCATTATTTGTTCAGATGGCTTGTTTGTGATTTTTGAGCTACCAGATCGCATTACACTCAAGAATTTCACTTTTTACCCTTTGGAAGGTAACCAGCAGAGCCCATGCTTGGAATTAGGATCACTTGTGTTGGCATTGTCCGTGGAGTCTCTTTTTTTCCTCTTTTTGTGAAGCTGAGTACAGAGAATGATTGTAAATACTTTTTTACAGTGATTTCTTTAATTCATCTTTCTGGATGAACACAATTCCTTTGGAAACAAGTTCAAAATTTAACAATCTCCTGCCCAAATAAATATTACCTTGAGTGAAAGGAATCAGTAAGAGTTACTGTTTCCTTATATAAATTATTACTCATTAGACATATGAAAGTCTGACCAGGAGAGTGATGATCTAGACTAGAATCTATTGCATAGGTGGGGTGGTGGTAGGGATGGCCTTCTTTAATTTATCTTTCATTATGCATATCATTATTAGACAGGTTTTGACCTTGTCATTATTTACTTATTTGTGATACTTTCTGTACAATGGAAAAGAACCCCACTGTTTTATGTTATTCATTTTGGTTGCTTTACCTTAGGTCCTATGAACAGTGTTTTAGATAGGATTAGCCCTTGGTCATTTTGTCTTTTTTTTTTTTATCTTAAAGATCTTAAATTTTCCACTCTTATGCTCTGAATCATAGGAATTCTAAATTTCAAGGGAATGGAAACAAACAAAAGGCAAACTAGCTTTCTAGGAAGAATCTAAGGGGCGCCTGGGTGGCTCAATTGGTTAAGTGTCCGCCTTCGGCTCAGGTTATGATCCTGGGGTCCTGGGATCAAGCCCCGTGTCAGGCTCACTGCTCAGCAGGGAGTCTGCTTATCCCTCTCCCTCTGCCCACCCCTCCCCCAGCTCATGCTCTCTCTCTCACTCTCTCTTGCTCTCTCTCAAATAAATAAAATCTTAAAAAAAAAAAATTGAAATGCACTCTATTTCATGTTCCATTACCTTTTTGTCTCATATTTGAACTCAGTATGATATACTTTTAAAAAAAGAGGCTATTATTTTTCTCATTTTAATTTGAGTTCAGGCTTATTGTTAGTAAGCTGTTTTATATTTTTATTACCATTAAGTGTTTAACTTAGAAGCAGCAGATTGACCCAAGGGTACAGCATTTAGTTTGAATTTATAGTTTATTGGGATGCTAATTTATTCTGAGTTTTTAAACACATTAAATTTTCTTTCTTCCTCCTTTAGATAGTAAAAATAGTTTATATCAGTCGTGAGTTAGGAAGAATAGAGGGGCTTTATTTTCTGAGGGGCATATTTATTGAGATACTGGGTATTTCTGAGCCTTTAGGTAACTATAAAGATTCTCAAGAGTAAAGTAAATATTACTTTATAGATTGATATTTATTCTTGTTCAGGTAAAAGTGGGAAACTAAACAGGTTTTTACTTCTTTTTTTCCTAAAAATGGTCTAGAAAGGTAGCCTTGCTTAACAGTAATCTCTGATTCATGATGAGCCAGATTGCCTTCTAGAAATGAGTCTTCTTGATCCTGAGCATAAGAACATGTCAGAAAAGGGAAAAGCAGGGGCCTGTGTACCCAAGTGACATTGTGCCCAGTCCAGGAAGGGAAGGAATAGATGTCAGATCAGAGTGGGTAAGATGTTTCATTTATTTCAGGTACTATTTATGTAGTGCCGGGAGAAAAGAGATGATGTCAGAACGTTACAGCAATGATAACAGTGAGAAAGACACAGTTCTTGCCCTCAAGTAGCTTTCAGCCTAATTGGGCGGTTGCATCAATAGTGTCTTGGCAGAGGTCCAGAATTAGTGCTGTGGAAGGCAGCGGGGGGGAAGGGTGGAATTAAAGGAAGGAGACAGAGGTTTCATTTGGTGAGAACAAGCAAAGGCTGCATGAAGGCAAAAGCATTTTAAATGGACATTGAAAATGGAGTTTCTAGAAGGGAAAGGAGATGGGAGGGTGTTTCATCCAGTTGGAGGAAACTACTGAGCTGTGGAAGATTGCTGAGTGAGAGTGGGATATGTTTGAGAACATTTAGTAGTTCACTGTGATTAGAGTATAGGGTACAGGTCAACCCAAAAAGCATTCATTGAGTGCTTACTGTGTAGATTATTTCCATTTTGACTTTTCAGAGTGGGGGAGGTGTAACTGAATGTTTCTTTGGCCTGACGTTGAGGAACCAGAAGAGAGAAGCTATTGAATATGTGGAAATGAAGGAGTAATTGATGAACAGAGGACTGGTACTTGATAGAACTGAGAAAGTAGATATAGAGAATTAACCTTTGAATTGGAAGAAAGTTTCTTCCTCTGAGACTGTGAGGGAAGGACAGGGACAGCTGAAAATTAGATGACTTGCGAATGCTTTTACACTTTATGTATGTGCAGCTGATCCAGAAATTCACATTTATTGAGGCTTTGTTATACCAGGTACTAGGCACTGAGAAAGCACAAACATGATTTTAATATAGTCTCTGTTGATTCTTTCTCTTTGCCAACTTTTTGAATATAGTGACCATATCTTGATTATCTTTTGAAAATCTATGATATCTGGGGCACGTGGGTGGCTCAGTCGTTAAGCGTCTGTCTGCCTTTGGCTCAGGTCATGATCCCGGGGTCCTGGGATCGAGCCCCACATCGGGCTCCCTGCTCTGTGGGAGGCCTGCTTCTCCCTCTCCCACTCCCCCTGCTTGTGGTTCCTCTCTCTTGCTGTGTCTCTCTGTCAAATAAATAAATAAAATCTTTAAAAAAATATTAAAAAAAAAGGAAAATCTACAATATCTAAAATGTGGTACCTTAAACATAGTAGGGGACCAATAAATGGTCACTGACTTGTTGAAGCTGATTTAAATAGTTTTCTTTCCCCCTTTATTTTTTATTTATTTTTTTATTAACATATAATGTACTATTTGTTTCAGGGGTACAGGTCTGTGATTAATCAGTCCTACACAATTCACAGTGCTAACCATAGCACATACCCTGTCCAATGTCCATCACCCAGTTACCCCATCCCTTCCACCCCCCTCCACTCCAGCAACCCTGTTTCCTGAGATTGAGCCTCTTATGGTTTGTTTCCCTCTCTGGTTTCGTCTTGTTTCATTTTTTCCTTTCTTCCCCTATGATCCTCTGCCTTGTTTCTCAAATTCCACATATCAGTGAGATCATATGATAATTGTCTTTCTCTGATTGACTTATTTCACTTAACATAATACCTTGTAGTTCCATCCACATCATTGCAAATGGCAAGATTACATTTTTGTGATGGCTGCGTAATATTCCATTGTGTGTGTGTGTGTGTGTGTGTGTGTATGTGTATACACACACACCATGTCTTCTTTATCCGTTCATCTGTTGATGGACATCTGGGCTCTTTCCATAGTTTGACTACTGTGGACATTGCTGCTATAAACATTGGGGTGCAGGTGCTCCTTCAGATCACTACATTTGTGTCTTAGGGGTAAACCCAGTAGTGCAATTGCTGGGTCGTAGAGTAGTTCTATTTTCAACTTTCTGAGGAACCTCCATACTGTTTTCCAGAGTTCTTTCCCCCTTTAAATACTCTGAGTATTTGTTAGAGTTCCCAGCATTACTGGGATTCTCATTGGCCCAAAAGCAACTTGATCTAGTGAACAGATGAACTAGACTTGAAGATGGGAGGCTGGGGCCACCACTTCTGTCAGTTGCCACTTCTATGATTTTAGGAAAATAACATGTATGAGCCTCAATTTCTTGTGGAGGTAGTACTGCCCATATTGTCTACTTCTTAAAATTGCCTGATACATTATGTAATTTTATGTGAAAGCACTTTGAAAATCAAAAAGGATACATTTAAGGTATTAAAATGATCAGACCTTTCTTCTTTAGAATTGAGTTTTGTATTTAGTGTAGAAGGTTTCATGTAGATGGCTGGTTGAAGGGAGAGTTTTGTGGAGGCATAATTTAGGCAGATTAATGCACATTTTATTTCATTATTTTTCTGTTTTCATACCCAGCACTACTTAATATACTCTAATGAGGCATTGAGAAAATTTTTGTGAGAATTACTTCCTTACATATCTTCTGAGGGCTCTTACTGACAATATTACAAGTGTATAAATCCTTTCGGGAATCTGTGTTTGGATCTCAGGGAGGGTGGGTGAGTTTTTATGGCTGTATGTCTTCCTTATGGTATTTAGAAAATCTCTTGCTATCCAATGGGAGTGAGAGGGTGGAAGTTAGGAATATGAGTGTGAGGGGCGCCTGGGTGGCTCAGTTGTTAAACGTCTGCCTTCGGCTCAGGTCATGATCCCAGGGTCTCAAGCCTCACATCGGGCTCCCTGCTAGGTGGGGAGCCTGCTTCTCCCTCTCCCACTCCCCCTGCTTGTGTTCCCTCTCTCGCTGTGTCTCTCTCTGTCAAATAAATAAATAAAATCTTTAAAAAAAAAAGAATATGAGTGTGAAAGAAATCCTGTTTGTTGGTATTGCTTGTCACGAAATAGAGAAGCTTCAGTCCTAATTATTGAAGGCTAATGGAGTTAGAAATTAATAATGGAACATGTTATCTGAGACCACATTTAAAACCCCAAAACAGTGGCCTTGCTCTGTATTGAAGACCATATGCACAAGTATAAATTATTATTAGACTGACAGAGATAATGTAGATCCTGGATCTTGTCTACACAGGTATTTCATTAACCATGGAGCCAGTGTGGGTATTGTGAATAGTGAAGGTGAAGTCCCCTCTGACCTTGCAGAAGAGCCTGCCATGAAGGATCTTCTTCTGGAGCAAGTGAAGAAGCAAGGTAACCTAAGCGATTTCAGGGGACCAGGAGAGACTTTCAAACGTTGCCACTTAGAAAACAATCCATTTGCTGTATAGAATTTTTCATTATCATATGATAAGAGAGGATTAGATCTGTCTCCACAGCATTAGTCATCAATCACCAACATCATGTATTCTCTTAATAACTCACACAAGAATAGGCCTAATGTCAAAAGGGTGACTGGTCATTCCTTGTTTTTGTCGTATCCGGTATACCCTTTGTATAGTTGGGAGTGACCTGAGCATTCTTTGATAATACAAATCAGACTGATGAGGAGCATGAAGTTTCTCACTGGGTGTACATGGTACTGGATTTGGCTATACATTATAAAGTCTAAAGAAAGGATGATATACAGTATAAATTTGAGTATTGGGCAAATTCTGCTGGTGACTTTGTATCTTTTCTCTTGATGAGAGCTGAAAGTGGTGCTGGTAAAAGTATTTATTATAAAACCTCTGAAATGATCCTTAACCATACTGACCATGAAAATTATTCTGCAGTTTGTTATTTAGAAGAATAAACTCTACAAATACTTAATTTTAATTTTCAGAAAAATCCATATCAGAGAATAAGTCAGGATTTTCCTGAAGTTTCTGTGTTCTTTTAATAAAAAAATATTGCAAATAGTCAGATGGCAGGGAGGACAGGTTTTAGGAAGTTTGCTAGAACCATCAAAAAACTTTGTGGACATGGTTTGTTGTGATGTTTAGTCTTTCTGTTAAATTAGCTTACCCACAATCTGCATTTCATTCCAAAAGATTAAGTTCCAGTGGCCTTTCCTGATATGATCCTTTAGAACAGGCAGGCCAGTCCTGGCCACATCCATTTGTTCACATATTACCAAAAGCTGCATTTGCACTTACCACAGCAGGGTTGAACACACCGAATGGCTCACAAAGTGGAAAATATTTGATATCTGGCTTTTTATGGAAAGTATGCCAATGCCTTAAAGTAATGATGTTCTGGGGCAGTTAATACTTGTTTTTACTGCCTTCCCATGTATAATTTTTGTGCTCTTTGAATTAAAGAATTTTATACTTAGTTTACCGTTCAGTCCCACTCAGCCTTATGCTAAGATTGGCATCACTATTTACAAAAACTTTTTTTTTAAACAAACGGTTTTTATAATAGCTTTGATTTAAGAAACCAACTTTTCTTTAAAGATTTTTATTTATTTATTTATTTGTCAGAGAGAGAGAGAGAGAGCACAAGCAGGGGGAGCAGTAGAGGGAGAGGGAGAAGCAGGCTCCTCATTGAGCAAGGAGCCCGATGTGGGACTCGATCCCAGGACCCCAGGATCGTGACCTGAGCCAAAGGCAGACACTTAACGACTGAGCCACCCAGGCATCCCGAAACCAACTTTTCTTTAAAAAAAAAAAGATTTATTTATTTGAGAGAGAGAAGGTGGAGGGCAGAGGGAGAGAATCTCAAGCAGACTGCCCGCTGAGTGCAGGGAGTGACCCATGAGATCATGACCTGAGCCTAAATCATGAACCAGACACTCAACTGACTGAGCCACTCAGGCGCTCCAAGGAACCAACTTTTCTATTTGAATTTCTGACTCTTCAATTAAGGAATATGCTCTTTAATTAAGGAATATGCTCTGTTCAATTAAGGAATAAGAGGTATTCAAATGTATGCTTAACATTTTAGCACTGTTCTCTCTTTGTGTGGAATTCTGGTATATTCTATATCAGATATCCCTTTCAGTTTCAAGAGGCTATAACAGTCATAAATTAATATGCACCCAACTTTTGAACACCTAAATATATTAAACAAATACTGACAGATCTGAAGGGAAAAATAGACAATGATACAATAATAGAAGGGGACTTCAGTACCCCACTTTCAACAATGGATAGATCATCTGAACAGAAAACCAACAAGGAACTATACTGTGGACCCTGTGGACGTAATAGACATATACAGAACATTCCATCAATAAGAGGAGGAAAACTGGACTGGAAAACTCAAACTCACAAATATGTAGAGATTAAACAACATGCTACTAAACACCCAGTGGGTCAAAGAAGAAATCAAAAGAAGAATTTAAAAATATCTTGAAAAACATGAAAATGGAAACACAGCATGCTAAAACTTATGGAATGCAGCAAAAGCAGATCTTAAAGGGAAGTTTATAGTGACAAATGCTTACATTAGGAAAAAAGAAATATCTCAAATAACTCACCTTTACATTTCAGAGAACTAGAAAAAGGAGTAAACTAAGCCCAAGTTAGAAGGATGGAAATAACAAAGATCAGAGCAGAAATAAATGAAACAGAGACCAGAAAAAAAAAAATAGAAAAGATTAATGAAACTAAGAGCTGTTTTTTGAAAGATAAATAAAATTGACAAACCTCGGGTGCCTGGGTGGCTCAGTTGTTAAGTGTCTGCCTTCGGCTCAGGTCATGATCCCAGGGTCCTGGGATCGAGTCTCGCATTGGGCTCCCTGTTTGACAGGAAGCCTGCTTCTCCCTCCTACTCCCCTGCTTGTGTTCCTGCTCTCGCTGTCTCTTTCTCTAAATAAATAAAATCTTTAAAAAAAATTGACAAACCTTAAGTTAGACTAAGAAGAAAAGAGAAGACTGAAATAAAACCAAATGAAAGAAGATGCATTACAGCTGATACCACAGAAATACAAAGCATGATAAAAGACCACTATAAACAACTATGGATAACCTAGACGAAATAGATAAATTTCTAGAAATTTGCAACCTACCAAGACTGAATCAGGAAGAAACAGAAAATCTGAACAGACTGATAACAAATAAGGAGATTGAAATCAGTAATCAAACAATAAGAAAAGCCCAGGACCAGATGATTTCTTAGGTTAATTCTACCAAACATTTAAAGAAGAATTAATACCAATCCTTCTCAAATTGTTTCAAAAGTGAAGAGGAGGGAACACTCCCAAACTCATTTTATGAGGCCAGCATTACCCTGATACCAAAGCCAGATAAGGACAGTACAAGAAAAGGAAACTATAGGCCAATATCCCTGCTGAATATAGATGCAAAAATTCTCAACAAAATATTAGCAAACCAAATTCAGCAGCACAACAGAAAGATCATACACTGTGATCAAGTGGGTTTTATCTCTGAAATGCAAGGGTGGTTCAACATACATAAATCAATAAATATGATACACAACATTAATAGAATGAAAGGTAAAAATTATCATCTCAACAGATTCAGAAAAAGCATCTGATAAAATACAACAATCTTTCATGGTAAAACTTCTGAACAAATTGGATATAGAAGGAATTATTTCAACATAATAAAGGCCATATATGACAAGCCCATGGTTAACATCATACTCAATGGTGAAAGGTTGAAAACTTTTCCTTTATGATCAGGAACAAGCAAGGGTGCCCACTCTCACCACTTCTATTCAACATATTACTAGAAGTCCTAGCCAGAGTAGTCAAGCAAGAAAAAGAAATACAAGGCATGTAAATCAGAAAGGAAGAACTAAAATTTTCTTTGTGTGCAGATGATTATCATCTCATGTATAGAAAATTCTGAAGACTACCAAAAAACTCTTAGCATCAAAAACAATAAATTGGTTAGGAATAAATTTAACCAAGGAAGTGAAAGATCTGAAAAGAAAGAAATTGAAGAAGACATATATAAATGGAAATCCACCCATGGATTGAAAGAATTAATATTGTTAAAATGTCCAAAGCCATCTATAGATTCAATGTAATCCCTGTCAAAATTTCAGAGGCATTTTTCATGGAAATAGAAAAAACAATCCTAAAGTTTGTATGGAACCACAAAAGACCCCAAATTGCCAAAGCAATCCTGAAAAAGAACAAAGCTTGGAGGCATCACACTTCCTGATTCCAAAACTATATACTAAACTATAGTAATCAAAGCAGTGTGGTATTGGCATAAAAATAGACACACAGACCGATGGAGCAGAATGGAGAGCCCAAAAATAAACCCTCACATACATGGTTAACTAATACTTGAACAAGAGAGCCAAGAGGACTCATTAGGGAAGGGATAGTCTCTTCAATAAATGGTGTCAGGAAAACTGCATAATCCCATGCAGAAAAATGAAATGGGACCCTATCTTACAACACTCACAGAAATTAACTCAAAATGGAGTTAAAACCAATGCATATGACTTGAAGCTATAAAACTCCCAGAAGAAAACATGGGGAAAAACCTCCTTTACATTGGTCTTGACAATAATTTTTGGGATATGACACAAAAAGCTCAAGCAACAAAAGTGAAAATAAATAAGCAGGACATCAAACTAAGGAGTTTCTGCACAGCAAAAGAAACAATGAACAAAATGAAGACATCCTACAGAATGGGGAAAAATATCTGCAAATCATATATCTGATAAATACATAAGGAACTCATACAACTCAACAGCAAAAACAAAACAAAATGGGCAAGAACTGGATGGACATTTTTTCAAAGAAGATGTACAAACAGGTTTATGTGAAGATGTTCAGCATCACTAATCATCAGGGAAACAAATCAAAACCACTGTGAGATGTCACCTCACAGCTGTTCAAATGGCTATCATCAAAAAGACAAGAAATAGTAAGTGTTGGCAAGGCTGTGGAGAAAAGGGAACTCTTGTACACAGTTGGTGTGAATGTAAATTGGTATAGCAACTATGGAAAACTGCATGGAATTTCCTTAAAAAATTAAAAATAGTACTATCATATGACCCAGCAGTCCCACTTCAGGGTATATATCCAAAGAAAATGAAAGTAAAATCTCAAGAGAAGGGCGCCTAGGTGGCTCAGTCAGTTATGCGGCCGACTCTTGATTTTGGCTCAGGTCATGATCTCAGGGTCCTGAGATTGAGCCCCACGTCAGGTTCCTTCCTCAGCGGGGAGTCTGCTTGAGGATTCCCTCTCCCTCTGCCCCTCCTCCCCTAAAATAAATAAATCTTAAAAAAAAAAAAAAGGATCTCAAAGAGATATCTGTACTCCTCTTTTCAATGCAGCATTATTCACAATAGCCAAAATATGGAAGCAACCTAAGTGTCAGTCTATGGATGAATGGATAAAAATGTTTTATATATATATATATATATATAATGGAATATATAATGGAATATTATTCAGCCATGAGAAAGAAGGAAATATTGCTATGTACAACAATGTGGGTGGGCCTTGAGGGCATTATGCTAAGTGAAATAAGTCAGACAGACAAAGAAACAAATATTATATGATCAGAGAGTAGAATGGTGGTTTCCAGGGGCTAGGGGTGGGGATGAATGGGGAGATATTGGTCAAAGGGTACAAACTTCCAGTTATAAAATAAGTTCTGTGGATCTAATGTACAGCATGGTAACTTTATAATTAACAATACTGTGTTATGAACTTGAAAGTTACTAAGCGATTTTAAATGTTTCCAGCACAAAAAAGAAATGATAATTATGTGAGGTGATACTGTTGTTAACTAACTTTATTGTAGTGATCATTTTGCATATATAAGTATCAAATCAACATGTACAGATTTAACGTACACAGTGTTATATGTCTATTGTATCTCAGTGACTGGAAAAAAAAAAGAAATAAATTGCTTACCCTTTCACCCCATCAATCTCCCCAAATCAGACAGATAATCCTTAGGTAGCTCACAGGTTTTCATTTAGGAAGTGAGTTGGAAGGGAGTAGACCAAGCACAGATAAAGCCTGCTCATGAGTATAGAACTCTTTGGATGGCTATGTTTGTATTTGGGACATGTCATTTTTGGGGGTATTTTTTAATTAACGTATAATGTGTTATTTGTTTCAGAGGTGCAGGTCTGTGATTCATTAGTCTTATATAATATCCAGTGCTCATTACAACACATACCCTCCTCAGTGTCCATCACCCAGTTACCCCATCCCCTCACCCCCCTCCCCTCCAGCAACCCTCAGTTTATTTCCTAAGATTAAGAGTCTCTTATGGTTTGTCTCCCTCTCTGGTTTCATCTTGTTTCATTTTTTCCTCTCTTCCCCTATGATTCTCTGCCTTGTTTCTCAAATTCCACATATCAGTGAGATCATATGATAATTGTCTTTCTCTGATAGACTTATTTCACTTAGCATAATACCTTCTAGTTCCATCCATATCATTGCAAATGGCAAGATTTCATTTTTGTGGTGGCTGCGTAATATTCCATTCCATATCTTTATCCATTCATCTGTTGATGGACATCTGGGCTCTTTCCATAGTTTCGCTATTGTGGACATTGCTGCTATAAACATTGGGGTGCAGGTGCCCCTCCAGATCACTACATTTGTATCTTTGGGGTAAATACTCAGTAGTGCAATTGCTGGGTCATAGGGTAGCTCTATTTTCAACTTTTTGAGGAACCTCCGTACTGTTTTTCCAGAGTGGCTACACCAGCTTGCACTCCCACCAACAGTGTAGGAGGGTTCCCTTTTCTTTGCATCCTCGCCAATGTCTGTCATTTCCTGATTTGTTAATTTTAGCCATTCTGACTGGTGTGCGGTGGTATCTCATTGTGGTTTTGATTTTTGTATTTCCCTAATGCCGAGTGATGTTGAGCACTTTTTCATATGTCTGTTGGCCATTTGGATATCTTCTTTGCAGAAATGTCTGTTCATGCCTTCTGCCCATTTCTTGATTGGATTATTTGTTCTTTGGGTGTTGAGTTTGATAAGTTCTTTATAGATTTTGGATACTAACCCTTTAT